TTACATAGTCAGAATGTAAATTTCCAAGTTTTTATGCCTATTTTCCTTTTATACATAGGTTCTCATTCCAAAGCATCACTTTGTCAATGCATAAAACCGAATGCTTTTGAGAGCACACAAGTTATGTCTTGAATGCTTTGCTGCTTAGAAATTTCTTACTCCAGACACCCTAAATTATCTCTCTCAAGTTCAATGTTCCACAGATCTGTAGGGCAGGGGTGAAATGCCACTAGTCTCTTTGCTAAAGCATACCAAGAATCACCTTTACTCCAGCTTCCAACAAGTTATTCATTTCCATCTGAGATCAACTCTGCCTAGATTTTGTTTTCCATATTATTATCAGTATTTTGGTCAAAGCCATTCAACAAGTCTCTAGGGAGTTCCAAACTTTCCCACATTTTCCTGTCTTATTCTGAGCCCTCCAAACTGTTCCAACCTCTGTCCGTTACCCAGTTCCAAAGTCACTTTCACATTTTCTGTTATCTTTATATCACTGTCTCACTATCTCAGTATTAATTTACTCTATTAGTCCATTCTCACACTGCTGTAAAGAACTGCCCATATAAAATCCTCAATTCTTTAACTTTTACCTTATAATTTAAGTCTAAGTAAGTCATGGAGCATAAGTAGTCTTTGCAGATAATATTAAAACAGTTATTATACCTCTCTAGGTCTTTCCTATATTGTTTTTATATTTTGATTATCTTTGGCAAGCTTGCATCAAATAGTTTAAGATCGCTAAAGTAATAAAAAGCTGTGTATATAGATACCTGTAATCTTTTACTTGTATCTTTACAATCTGTCTTCACAGAAATATTTATTTCCTTATAGAAAAAAAAGTAAAATATTTATGTCATTTCATAATGAACCACTTAAATATATAGTCATCTTCAAAAAGGAACTAGAGTTATAAATATTACAATGAAATGCTTCCCCATTTTCTGAGTCTTTCAGCTTTGTTTCTTGCTCTGTTGAAATGTCCTTCAGTGAAATTGTCATTTTCCCTAACTTTGTCCAAATCAGATTGCAAGAGAAAAACAAAGTGATGTGAACGGGAAGAAGAAATTGCCAATATAGCAGGAAAATAAATCCAATCAGGACTCAGGGTAATCCTTGGTATCACCTATAGTATCTCTGTAATCATACTGATGTAGAAATTAAGTCTCTCAGAGGTTAGACAGATTGCCTGAAGTTACATCGCTTCAGGAAGATCATTAAAACCATAACGAAGAATATCTTTCTTAGAGAGACAACTTGGCATAGAAAAAAAGATTATAGGTTTGTAATCAGTCAGGCTGGGCATGTATCCTGACTTTACCCATGGTAGTACAAAGACAGACACTCTTGACATCAAACTCTACATCTTCATTTATTAATGCTGAATTATAACATCCTTAACTTCAAAGCCTGAATTTTCTCTGAAAAAGAATAAGATATTATCTATTATGGGATACAAATTGCTCTAAGGAATAGATTAGGTTGTACATTGAAAGTGCGTAGCACTGTGCCCAGCACCTAATTACTCTCCAACAAGTATTAGCTTCCTTCCCCAATCATTGATTAAATCAGTGCACAGTGGCTCTTTAAGAGTCAGATTATTTACAGGAATAATGCCTCCATCCCATTATTTGAATGCCAGGCAACAATGGCTGAGATAGATCCAGAACCTACCTAAACAGACAATATAATCTTGAAATTATAGGACCAGGGGAACAGGCATGGGAAAGTTAGGTTATTCTATTCTCCTTCTTAACTAATGTCTAGGAAACACTCTTTTTTCCTCCTCAGGCATAAAGCTTGAACAAGACTTTTCATTTTCCATAATTTCCAGAGAAACCTACTGGGTTGCAGTGGGAACTATCAAAAGGAATTAAATTGCTATATTTTCCAGAGTTAAGAAATAAATGGAGAAGAAATGTATATAGAGACCTTTTTTGATATTTGTGTTTTTTTCCAGGTGATTAGTATGCAAAGGTCTTATGTAATTCCGCTACAGTATCATTTTCAAACATTCACTTAATATCTCTGTAGCAAGACCTAGGAATGTATTTGGCTCCCTGTGGTATTGCCTGAGACTAACCTTCAGGTTAGGCACCCATTGATTTTAGCTTCCATTGTTCTGTGAAACACATCTGGGTCTTTAATTAACAATTCTCTAAGTTGGAGACAAATTTGCTATTGCTTGAACGTGTCTGATGGAAAGCACAGACATAATGCTTATAAGATGGTGGGGAAAAACTAATTGAAAGTAAGATTATAAATTACTCTTGGCTCTAGGTTTCCCTCAAGCTATGGAAAACAAAAACCAATTATTTATCTTTGGAAACAGAATTACCTTTTTTTTTTCCTGTTATCTAATCAATGCTTATTATTCCTCTCAGCCTGGTTCTGTAGTTGGTTAGGGAAGTTGAAAGCAGACCCCACTTTTCTCATGCAATCTGTCTCATGTTTCTTCATGTCTTTTGGTTTCAAATTTTTCAAAAATTACTCTTGTTTAGCACACAAAAGCCTTCAACATGTCAGACAAAACTGTTCAATACCTGTAATTAGTGACCTTGTTTTATTTAAGTTTCCATCACAGAAAGAAAATTGATTTTATTAACCCTCCTTTTTCAGTAAATGACTGTGGGATATGAAGCATCTGCATTGTGCATTTTTAAGTACATCTTGAAAATTCAGAAAGATCTAGAAGTAATCGCATGCAAGCGCACATGCAGTTGGTATTGTGTATTTTGCAATAATGTTTGGGGTTTTACCTCTGTAATATGAATGTACCTTTATCTTATGTATGTTGTTTGGTTTCCAGTAATTCACTTGGACACTTCGAATATAGGTACAATAGTACAGATTCGAAACACTTTGAAGTATTTTACTACAAATACAAGGTTAGGTTGCGTACATTTTCTGCTATGATTAGGGGAGTTTTGCAAATCAGCATTTCTCTATTTTAACTCTACACAACAGGCAAACTCTCTAAACACAAAGAAATGAAAAAAAAAAAAAAAAGCCTATTCTTGCACTCTTTTCTTTTACTTTTTTTGAGATGGAGTCTTGCTCTGTAGCCCAGGCTGGAGTGCAATGGCACGATCTTGGCTCACTGCAACCTCCGCTTCCCAGGTTCAAGAGATTCTCCTGCCTCAGCCTCCTGGATAGCTGGAATTACAGGCACATGCCACCACACCTGGTTAATTTTTGTATTTTTAGTAAAGAAAGGGTTTCACCATGTTGGTCAGGCTGGTCTCAAACTTCTGACCTCGTAATCTACCTGCCACAGCCTTCCAAACTGCTGGGACTATAGGCGTGAGCCACTGCCCCCGGCCTTTCTTCCACTCTTTACATATTCTTCTCTATTATCATCTCAGGCCATTTACAACCCAGAAGCTGAAATTTTCAAAGCTGGCTTCCCAGGCACTGTGTGACATAAGTCACTTAACATTCCTCGGTTTCAGAATCCTCACCATGAAAATGAAGAGGCTAAATCAGCCATAACACAGGGTTTCATTGCTGATCCTCCAGTATAGGGGTCCTCACTCCCTGGGCTGTGGGCTAGTACCAGTCCATGGCCTATTAAAGGAACCGGACCACACAGCAGGAGGTGAGTGTCAGGCCAGCAAGCATTACTGCCTGAGCAGAGCTCTTCTGTCAGATCAGCTGCAGCATTAGATTCTCACAGGAGCGCAATCCCTATTAAGAACTGCACACTTGGGACCTAGGTTGAATGCTCCTTACAAGAATCAAATGCCTGAAGATCTGAGGTGGAGCTGTTTATCCTGAAACCATTCCCCCACCTAAAAGTGTCTTCCACCAAACCAGTCCCTTGTGCCAAAAACGTTGAGGACCCATGCTCCAGCACACTCCTCTAATCATGCCAATCACACTGCCTTTGAATAAGATGCCTTTGTGTTCCCCTCACTGGACTGAGGATTGAGGGACAACAGGTAGAACTTTCCAGTGATTTTTTCATTCTATATGCATCCAGCTTACCTTCTCCTCTCCTGGCCTTAACACTGTCCACCTTCCCTAGTGTCCTTCATCTGATGCAGCATGGGAAACATCAGGAAACACACAATAAACTCTTGTGAAATGAATGGTTTCAGATAACTCTTCCTCATGCAGAGATTCAGTTATTGGGGTGTTTCTATGAGGCCAGTGTCCCCTCTCCAGAAACCCAGAAAGAGAGACTAGTGAAATACAGAGAGCAAGTTTGACAGGAAGACTTCATTTCCTCTTTTGTTTTGTTTCCTGAATATTGTGAATATCTTTACCTCTCTCTCTACTGTTTACCCAGTTTTGGCCAAATGCCCAAAAGTCCTATACATCATGCCTGTAAAATGCTAATTCAGAGTCATTTTTCCCAAGGGAAAGTTAGGAGGAGATAATATTCTTTCACTTCCCATGAGATAAGGCACTGAGGACAGCTTTTATGATTAACAACAGACCAGTTTCTTTACCCATCCCTGGTCTCTTTACCCACAGACCAGTTTCCAACTTCTCAAGTTGTTATTTTTAGTCTAGCAAGGATTTCACCAGTTCAGAAATTGGAGGAAGGGGCCAATGTGAAAAGCCCAGTAGTGCCAAACATCTCAGATTTCTTCCTTCAAAACAAGACAAAAAAATCAAACGAGTTGGATGCGTGCCTCAATTGTTTCCTTTTTCTAGACTCCAGTACCCACAGGTGGTCAAAACTCTATTGGAATTATAGAATATCTCTGCAAAGACCAGAAGGACCCAGTGGTCCTGTTTTCCCTTTATGTGGGTGAAACCACTCTGCACACAGCCTCCTTACTATTGGAAAGGGAGTTAAATAAGAGAAAACATGAAAACTGCTGGGGTTTGAAGGACTCAAACATTTACTTCTTTCTTTTTTCTTGTGTAAACTACAGAATCAATTGAGAAATAGAGTTAGAAGTTAGATATTAAATTGTTAGGTCAGCAGAGAAATGGGATTCCAGTCTTTGAGTGGACTCTCTAACTCAAGTTCCATGCCATGCTAGGAAGAAATGAACCATAAAAGTTCGTCTTTTATGTCCAGCGACGTGACACTGTACAGCGGAAGCATGGATGAGCAGAGAAGTGTGCTCCCTGCAGGTTGGCATTTCCTACCAAGAAAGAGTGATTATTGGTATTTCTCAGACCCCTAGAAGGAAACAAAATCTACTCAAGAGAGCTCACACATAAGGATTTTAATGATAAAACTATCTGTAGAGGTGAGATCAGTGTTTGGGAAACAGGATGACAGCTGACCCAAAGACTAGCAACAGTGAGAAACTGTTACCACCATAAGGGCTTAAGGGACAAGAAGAAAATTATGTGCCTGGAATGCAGTAAGGACTGGGGCCTTAGAATAAGAGCCACCTGTGGGAGATATAGCTGTAGGAAAAAACATAGCTACTTCTAATGAAATGGGACCAAGGCAGGAGGAAAGGAGGTGAGAAACAGTCAAAGAAAATAAATGCTCTGACATACTGTCTCTTGTGTTCCAGTCTCCTTCTGTGGATGTCATTGGTCAAAGCCAACAAAAAGCAAAAGCATCATGTCATCCACAGGGCTCACTGGCCTGCCTTGCCTTCACCTACACTGGCACACCGCAGGGTTGAGGAGTGTGAAGAATGGGCGTTGGAAGAGCAAATATGGCTTATTAGAATATTGACCAATAAGAAACGGTACAACCACTGGAAGGAATGGATAAAAGACAAGAAAAATATGGGAGAAGGTATGGGAATTTTAATGGACTTCTGTTTTTTCCACTTGGAAAGATAAAGATCAAGGTGACTTTAAATCAAAAGGAAGAGCAGATAATTCCAATGCTCCAGTTTTCTCCAGACAACATAACTATTCCAGCCAATTGTGACATCTCCCAGGATCTTTCACTGGTCCAGGCAGTTCTGCAGACCTTCTTTCTGCATCCTCAGTCACAGACCTTGAACAGTTCACTTTTTTGTTTCATTACTTCCCTTTACACCATTTGAAGCAGGCATAACTGCTAAGTGCCACCAACAGCCTCTTTCCTTTTGGCTCATGCAAGGCTACTTCTCCAGAGTTGCTTTTCTCTAACAGACCTCAAAATTCATTGCTTCTGTAATTAAGTAGTAAAATGTAGTGGTGAGGAAGTGGAAAATGATGTCAAATGCACATGCTTTCTATAATGTAACTATTGGGTTACATTATAGAAATCATCTAACCCTTCTGAGGCAGGGATCTGCTAGTCAGAAATAACCCCTCTGTGTTAAGGTTGTTGTATGAAGTTAATGAGATAATTACAAGATAATGTATCAGTTTGCTGGGATGCGTATAGGCATATAGTAAAGCCCTTGGATGGTTCATACTGAGTGTCAACTTTATTGGATTAAAGCATGCAAAGTATTGTTCCTGGGTGTGTCTGTGAGGGTGTTGACAAAAGAGATTACATTTGAGTCAGTGGCCTGGGAGAGGCAGATCCATCCTCAATCTGATGGGAACCTTCTAATCAGCTGCCAATACAGCTAGAATAAAGCAGGCAGAAGAAGATGGAAGAGCAGATTTCTGGTCTTCATCATTCTCCCATGCTGGATGCTTCCTGCTCTTGAACATCATACTCCAAGTTCTTCAGCTTTTGGTTTCTTGAACTTATACCAGTGGTTTGCCAGGGACTCTTTGGCCTTTGGGCACAGACTGAAGGCTGCACTGTCAGCTTCCATACTTATGAAGTTTTGGGACTCAGACTGATTCGCCACTGTCTGCCTTGCTCCTCAACTTGCAGACGGCCTCTCATGGGACTTTACCTTGTGATCATGTGAGTCAATTCTCCTTAACAAGTTCCTTTTCATATAAATGTACCTTTTCATATATAGCTTTTGTCCCTCTAGAGGACCCTGACTAATACAGCCCTCAATCTTTATTGTCCCTCACCAACTTTTGCCTGCAGTGTGCCCTTTCCCTGCAGCCAAATCTTCTTCTCTCCATGTCTAGTTATTGTTTTAGAAGTGGATGCAAGATCAGGGGTTCATTACATTAACTTTACATCAGTGGTAATGCTGTGTTACTTTCTTTATATACTTTACATATAAAGTACTTTTTCTATATACTTTCTCTATATACTCTATATACCTTTTCTATATACATTCTCTACATACTTTCTTTATAAACTTCTTTATATAGAGGCATGGAAGTACTAACAGTACTCTGTTAGTATTTTGTATCTTCATGTTGAAAACCAGCTTAAAGTTCCAACCAAATTTACTTATCTTGCTTCTCATTAATCTTTGACAAATTGCAAACCCCAGAGCTTCTATGGGTGTAAAAGAGGCCAGCCAGGCCATTACTTGGGCCTGTTAAAATATGGCCTTACAAGCAGCTTCCTGTGGGCACTCACCCCAGCCAGAAATTCTTTTGATATAACTTATCATGCATTATTTATGTTACTCTGAACCTCTAACGTAAAATTAAGGAATATAATGGAAACATCCTATACATCACGGTGTTGCTCTATCATTCTATGTCTGCCACAAAAATCTTAAAATTATTTCTGTGGAATAATCCTATATACGCTATTATAGCTCAGCCATAATTCCTAGGAATATTTCAATTCTTGGCTTTTTCTTCATCCAGGAGATTTTACTTCCTCTTTCAGTGCCTAAAGTACCACTTGTTCTTTTGATCACAGCATACTTATAAGAACAATTCTCACTTGAAGGAGGAAAGTATGATGCATTACCAGCTTCCATTAATGTAGTCAAGGCTATTTTGTGGGGAGGGATAGATGAGCTTAGAAGCTTCAAAAAATTTTGCCAATGTGTCACTTAGATCTGTAAATTTTCTTGAAACTTTATGTTGGTTGGATTTTATTTCATTCTAACCATGATAGCCATGTGACATAGAGAAAGAATATGGAAAAACTGACTGGAAGTATTTCCAACCCAGTAATCTTAATATTTTGATTCAGCAGTCTCAAAATCATACAACTCAGTTTAAGACTTATCTCAATCTCTAAATTTGAGACTGAGGATAGGATTTAAACAGGAAGTGATCTAAGTGAAATTACATTTTATACAATTTGTTTTTCTCCTATGTAGTATTTAATCAGGTGATCGTCAGTCAAAGAGGGAGTCAAAAAGAACCATGGTTCTGCATCATTTGTTCTGCATCAAGGCAGAAATCATTTTTATACCCTCAAGTAATCTATTCCTTCTACACAGAGCATGTGAATTATTGATGACTCTATTCAACATTTTAGTACTTTGTGGCAGCCAACTAGGTCTTACCAGTTACTTGCTTTTGTTGGCATTAAAATAAAATGCATTTCTCCTACTGAGGACATGTAAAAGCAAATGAGAAATTAATATTTTTTAAAGTCTATAAACAAGGCATCATATGTCAAAAGAGTAAGCATTTGTAAGCCTAGCTGAAAAGATGTTTTACAATAAAACTTAACGTGGCATAAAAAATACAGCTCTGATCTTTTTTTTTTCCTTAACATCTTTCAGGGATTTACTTTTTCTCTACACCATTTTCTTTTTGAAAATATAACTTTATTGTTTTCTGTTTGCTTCTTTATGACTTCTCAACTCTTGACCTTGAGGGTAAACTGTAATATCAGAAAAATCAACCTTTATGCTTCCTACCTCTCACAGGTTCATAAATGGCTCTTGGGTAGCTTTTCTTCTATATATACAAACTCTCAGGTTTTCTTGTGTCTTATGACTGCTCATATGTGCTTGGAGAATATATAAAAAATGAGGAGGTGTTCATTTCTTGTAATAAAAATTATAACAAGTTATAGCATGATTTTTTCCTGGGCTGATACCAACCCTATGAGATACAGTAGCAAAATGTTACTATTGTGATTTTAAAATCAAGAATTTGAGCAGAGATCTTTATTTTTCTCTATTTTCGTTCTTTCTTTCTTTCTTCTTCTTCTTCTTCTTCTTCTTCTTCTTCTTCTTCTTCTTCTTCTTCTTCTTCTTCTTCTTCTTCTTCTTCTTCTTCCTTTAGTATTTGTCTAGTTTTCAATGCAATCCTGGCATGAAGATGTTAACCTACCAACTGGGGGCTTGATCTTGATGAAGACCAGGCAACACAGTGTTGATTGCTGGTGAAATAATTGGATAAAAGATCTACATTATGGGCTTAAGAATTCTTTTAAATGCCATTTTATCTATTAAAAAATCTTTCCCCAACAACCTAATTCATTGAAATGAAAGGATTAGAATCACATTTATAACGGGCTAGATTTAAATCAGAATTATGTATTTAGACATTTTTGATCTTTAAGTTACTTGTGAATCATCTCTTTTCAACATGTATTGATTGTGTACATATTACAGGCCAAGCTCTGTGTTAATAACTAGGGATAATGAAGGTAATTCAATCATAACCTTGTTCAAAAAACATTACAGTGATGATGGTAATTAAAGACTGATCAGCCCTTGAACTGGATTGTTAAAATAAGGAAAACCTTACTTACAAAAGTTGGGAATATGTTGCTTTTGAGGGAAAGGAAGACATGTCAGGCAAAGAGAAGGCTTATGCAAAGTACATAAAGCACAAAATAGCTTGAAAGTTACAAGGAACTAACTGGCTCAAGTAATATAGAATAGCAGGAACAAAAACTCCAGAATAGAAATGACTGAGGAAGTCACCCACATTCAGAATGTGCTTGGTCTGCCAGGAGTGATGTGACTAGGTTTATGGAATACATGGTTAATGGATTGAATTAGGTTGAGGGAGAGTGAGAAGAAGAGAATAAGGGTAACGACGATAAAACAAAGTAAGATGTTGACATGCTGAGAGAGGAGCTGGCCAATTTTTATGTAGGACTTTCACAGCAGGAAGGTATTGCTTCTTTTCATCTGCCAACTCAAACCCACCTTCATGGTCTCACTAACAAACACAACTTCTTGTAGAAATATTTTATGTAGATTTGGACAACTCACCTTCTGGGATTCTATAGAATATTTCAATAGTCAGTATTCAATAGCTTATCCTGCATAACAATTCTGAAGCCTTAGTGGCTGTGTTAGTAAGTTCATTGTGGTACATATACACCATAAAATACTATTCAGCCATAAAAAGGAATGAAATCATGTCCTTTGCAGGGACATGGATGAAGC